GGATGTGCGACAGGGGTGGCTCGGGGTGCTTCTTCTTCCGCAAGGTAATCCGCGCGCTCTCTCTTCCACACACGCTTCCGCATCGCATTCTCCAGCACTCACCTCATCGCCGCTCTCTCTCTCTCTCCGTCGCACTCGTCACCTCACATCGGGCACCTACACCTATCCGTCCTACGCGCGCCCTTTCGCATCGTTCGCCGGTCACACGTGAGACCGGAAAGAGTGACTCCTGGCAGACAACCCGCGGCGAACGTACGTGAGAGGGACGGAGACTCTCGTGAGAAAGGCGACGGGCCAGCAGCGGCTCGTCGTGTGTTCTGCTGACGGCGTCTTCGGGACACTCACGGCGCGAGGAGGACCACCCGCGGTGCACGCATGGGTCCGCCGCGGCAGGACGGCGCGATGTCCGTACGCGCCAAGAGTGAGAACGGAAGGCAGAAGAAGACGGACGATGGTGCGCGAAATTGGTGGTGGACCACCGCGGGCAGGAAGAGCGGTGAGGAACAGCCGCTCCAGGAATCGTCGGCGAATGAACGCGGCTGCAAATCGGCCACGGCGGCGTGGATGTCTTTGCTGTCGCTCTGCGATCGGATGTGCGGCACCGCCGCGTGGCTCATCCCGGTCACATGCCTTCGCGCGGTGCGTTCTGCATGGTTCACGGTTCTTTTTTTTTTTCTATGCCTGCTACTTCCGCCGGCCGAAATTTCACCTGGCCGGCGACCGGGTAATTAAGTGCCTCCCGAAAAGTAGGAGTGTGTTGTGAGATTTGTTGGAGACGCGCGTGGTTCTCGCGCGTCGTCGATCCCGACCGGAGGTTTCTTTGTTCCGCAACGATCCCGATTTCCGTCGCGATGAATAGTGCATCTCCCCTTGCATCTTCCCCTCCCTCATGGCGCCGTAGTCAACGCGCGCGCCAAGTTTTACGATTGTGCCCGTGTGACGCGTGACAGGTGGATGAGTTTGCTCCGGAGCGCGCGTGCGGCTCGATGAGGGTGTGTTTTTTTTCCCCTCTTTGGATAGTCCTCTGATGAGGTGCGAATCCGGCCGGAATCGCCGGTCAACGAGCGAGGGGATTTACGGCGATGCTTGTGCGCGATGCCGGAGTGACAGATTGATGAGTTTCCGCGAGACGCCGCGCGTTTCGTTACGGGCCTCCCTCATGCTCTCTAGGGATTCCTGATAGAGTTTTAGGTTTACGCGTCACATTTATCTCTCGAATGAAAGAGTGTCGCTCTAAATGGTTCTCTCTCTTGGAGAGAAATTAAGTTATTTGTGGATCGAGTTATCTTATTGCGACGCGCATGACCGCATAATCGAAAAACCGTGTTAATCAACGTGTGAGATTCAAGAATTGATTCCCCTGATTGACAGTCCAATATGCGTTTAAGCGTAAATGATTTTGTCAGTTACTTTTATCAGATGCATTTAATTTTGATGATTGTAAGAAAGTGAATTGATTTTTTTTCATTGATAATGATAATTACCTAAATAATAAATATTTTTAAATTATTATTTCTTATACTTTTTACTTAGATAATTATTATCGATGAGAAATGAGACAAATTTACTTAACCTTCTCTCAGAAAAATCGATGTGATATTGCAAAAAAGTTGGTTAATAATATTTACGAAAAATCTTGGAATCTCCACGTTTGAATTATATTCGGTGACTACGGAAATTCTCGCTCCATATACCGTCTACGTCCGTGTCGTGATAGTTCTAGGTCACGTGTTTGCGTGAAGTGCTTGCCTCCTTCTATGAACTCATGAATTCCCGTACGATACGTCTTCAACTTAACTAGGTGACATTAAAAAGCGAAGAGAATTTTCTCTAAAATATTCAAACCGCTCCCCGATCGAAGAATAGATTTGGTTTGCAAAATATTTAAAAAGATATTTAAGTAATCCATATTGCCATTTTCATCGTCATAAACCTATTGTCGAACTCTTCATCGCTATCACCGAATCATACAGCTCTCTACGGCACCGTGAGCCCAGATGACGTAAGATGTGGACAATCCAAGTTACGTAATTACTAATGGTCGATCGGCATATGCGACATGTGCAGCTCGACCCCGTGACATATGCATTCGGTCGCTGTGGTTATCATTGATCTAGACCCTGAATAATTCATTTTCCACGAAAAGAGAGATACCGCCCGACCATTGAAATTATTTTCAATATCGAGTGTCGCTGGCAGTAATAGCGCTTTTTATGACGTGAGATTTCGTCGACCGACTTTTCGTTTTGTCGCGCATAATAATTCATCCGATTCGCTGGGAGGTTGATCAACGGCGGAAATAATCAGTCATTGCTTTGCAGGAGGGCCGGGGAGAAGTGACAGACATCAGCGCAAGTCCTGGGAGGCAAGCACCTGCCAACCAGTTGCGCCCCAAGGAACCACCCCCCATGGTCATTCAAGGAGACTTCAGGAAGGTAGCGGCCACACTTCATTAACTCGTTGCACAATAGACGAATTTAACGTGCTCGTTGCGCCGGCAAGCTTCAATTGGCGGACAGTACGACGATGGATCCCGAAACTCCGCGGGACTCTATTGTATCGCTCGTGAAGCTGTCTCGACGAACGGCAGAAACGTATCAGTGCTTTAGCCGTTATACATTATTCATATAATTTGATCGCTATTATATTGAATGTGCCAAATTTCAATTAAATCCATTCCATTGTTGCTTTTTGCAACAAATAAGTGAAAAGCGGGAGCATAACAGTGACGGCTATTAATATCACTAGATTGCACTATTAACATCAACAGATGATTAAAATTAATCTTGGTAACAAAGTTTTATGTTGCTAAAATAATATTCTGTTAATTAAACTACAATAATCACTACATTATTTGAGACTTTGTTTGCACGGTAAACGAGTAAATGAATAAGCAACGAAAGAAAATCTGCTTGCTTTCGTCGTCGAGATAATTTCACCGATCCGCGCATGTATGACGAATTTACGCCACACTCCCCCTGAAACAAAAGGACCTGCCGTTGCAGGTGAGCGGGATCAGTACAGAGATCTTCAAGCAGATCGAGACTGTCGAAAACGATCATGACGCTTCGACAGCGGCGGCCCTCGAAGCTGTCGAGCGGAGAGGCGAGATGGTCGTGCGTGTCATCGAGCCTCGGCAAATGGGTAGACAGGCTTCCGAGGCGGCGAAAAAATTTATCGCTATGCAGGTACGTTATGCCAATAAACCATCTGCCGCTGGCAGATTGTGATTCATTCGCGTTGGAGCGCAATAATTTACTATAAATTAGAACCGAATGCAGTCCTTTCGTTAAACCGGCATATTTGAAATCGTTGATTATCTCTTTCGATTTTTCATTAATTTAATTGTAGAATAATTATTGGCAATTTGTGATATTTTACGTGCTATTTGCGTGCACGAAAAATGTGAAAAAATACACGGGTATGTTCACTCTTTTATATTAAATTATGCAAATTAAAATTTAATTTAAAAAGCGCGAGCCAAGATTCAATATAAAGTAGGAATGCATATAATTCGAATATTGAACTGTACATCAAAATTTCGGGTATTAAAAAAATCGGATGTTAAACCGTACGTTGAAATTTTAATTAAAATAAAACAGATTACAATATATTTTTTTGCCTCACTTGCTTTTTGTCGCGTTCAACGATCATAAAACTGATAATGTGACTGTTAAGCAAAATATCGCGGTATCGAAATAACATCGTAAAATAACGTTGTAAATTTAATACGCTTTTCGCGGGACTAAACAAACGGACAATCAAGTGTAAAAATTTGCCCGGTATCGCAACCATTCGCCGTACCCGAGTCCGAGCGAGAATTATTTTCACGACAACGACGTAATTTCGCAGTGCAATTTGCAGTGCACCCGAAGCCGCGCTGCGAACGCTGTGAAATATTTCGACGGCGCGAATTAAGAAAGTTCGCGCGCCGCGCGCGCGCGCGCGATCTTTGTTTCAGGATCCCAAGCACCCCATTCACTTCATCGAGATAATCAAACGACCGGGACAGACCCTCGGCCTCTACATACGCGAGGGCAACGGCGTCAACAGGAACGACGGGGTCTTTATCTCCAGGATAGCCCTGGAGACCGCCGTCTACAACAGCGGCTGCTTGAAGGTGAGAATCGCGCCAACTACCGTCGAACGTAAATTCACCGCCCACCCGCGGTCGCCGGCGCGGAAACTGACACGTGAGCGAGGAAAACCGAGGCGAGAACACAGCCGGGAGAATCGAGATCGCTTTCGTCGCGCGAATCCGCCTTCTTTTTGTCAAGCTGAAAACTTAATTGCCACCCCGGTGCAGCCATTTAGAACCGGAACCTATTTCAAGACGCCGCGACGGCGGTGGCGGCGCGAAGAGAGAAGGGGGGAACGCCGCCAGCGGGAGGGGCACGGTTTCGCAAGAACGCGCCGAATTAAATTTATCCTTTTGCACCTTGACATTTCGCGCGAGTCGACCATCGATCGGTCCCGCATTCGGCGATCCAAGTACGGGAGGGAGAAACGAGGAGTTTCATCCTCCCGTAGCCACCCGCCGCGGCTATTATTCATTATTGTCTTTATCAGTCATCCGCGAGCGATGTATTCGATGGATGTTCAGGTGGGCGACGAGATCCTCGCGGTGAATCTGGTCGACGTGACACATATGAGCCTGGACGATGTCGTGATCATCATGTCGATACCGCGACGGCTCGTCCTGGCTACGCGACACGGACCGCATCAGCCGATCTCGCACAGCCACCAGACCGAGCACAAGGCGCCGCCCGTGGTGGTCATCAAGCGGGAGCTGAACGAGGACGAGAACGACCACGCGACGAGTAACCACGTCAGGTATATCGCTTTACTCATTCATAACTTTTTTTATTTAAATTCCAATAATGATTCATTAATTTATCAATTTCTTTAAATAATTAAAATTAGTGACTTTGGTAACTTTATAATCTGTGTAAAATTCCATAAATATCCATTTTGCTGTAAAAGAACTTAGTTTTCTATTCTTGAAATTAAGATTAAGACAGTTTAATATAATTTTCTTCAAACAAAACTGTATTCTAAAAAATGGCACATCCACATAAATTTATATAAAACATACTATAATATTTCCTAACTAAAATCTAATAACTAATAACTGATTTTCACATCTATTAAGTTAAAATAGCTTGATATAATCTATTTAGATAAATATTAAAGATGAAACAACATCTCGCGAATAGATTATTTTCTATGTACCTTGTTGACAACTCTATTATAAACGTCATTACGTTTTTTATCCTTGTTCTTTCCTCACTCTTAAAAGCTTATAGAGCAATTTGTTAAACAAGATAAAAGAAAAGTGAGAAAACAAAGGATTTTTGAATGTTACCATCTCTAGTTGAATCTATAATTAAATAGTTTGGACTAAAATACGATATATTAAAAATAGATATTAATTATGTGCATATTATTCAACTATTAAAAGCTAATAATATTTCTTTTTCTATTATTAAAGACGAAAAATGTTTTAAATTGCCTGCTATAGATATTTCGCGGAGGGCAGCAATTTTTGTATACGCCACATAATTTCTGACAACAATTTCAATTGTCTTTATCGCATCTTCTAGGATTATTTTATAAATGCTATCATTAGTAATTTCGAAAAATAATAGCCTATATAAAGACAGAATTTTTACAAACAGAGATGGCAGCAGCCGTAGACGGGGCGACGGGCGCGAGATGTTGCCGTCGCGATCGCGACTCGGTCTCACGGGTTTGGGATCGAACCAGGATCTCGGATCGAGCAATGGCGATCTGTACTACAATTCACGGCCAGAGGGTCACTGGTCATATCAACCGCCACCGCCGCCGGTTATCACGCACCAGCCGAAACCATCGTCGACTCAACACTTTCAGCCGTACGAGCGCGGTTACCCGAAGACATTGGAGAGCTTAGCTGAGAAAGTAAGTCTCGCGCGTTGTTCTGACTATCGATACAAAAATGTCGACGCGAATCGAGATTTAAAACGACAGAGAATTGTTAAACAAGAAAGATTAAAAATAACAAAATATAAAATTTTTTAAAATTTCAACATTTAATTGATTCTATAATTAAATAATTCGAATTATAATGTAATGTAACACAATCAAACTGCATGTTGCAAATATTAAACATAAAAAGCTAAAAATTTTCTTTTTTCTAATTAAACAATCATCGTTTTAACGCGATAGCAATAGTAATCCTTTAACAATGTAACACAAAAGAATTATTATTGCACTTTGATTCATTTTAATTAAATTAATAAAACTTGTGTTATAAAGTTGGAAAATTATTTGTATTATCACATTAAAATTATTACCGTTCAATTAGAAATTTATTACCGTTCAATTAGAAAAAAAGAAACATGGTTAGCCTCTGATAATTAATATTTTCAATACGCACAAAACCATGATCTATCATAACGCAGATTGAAACTTACACGAAAAACCTGTCGTTCCCCTGATCTCGATCCGATGTAGTTTACGCATAGATGTTCTAGACGATGTGGATCGAGCACCATTTCACACCTGTCTGCACCAATTCGATACTTGTTTTTGCCCTTTACTGTCTCCAATAAACACTACTTTGCGACTGAAAGAAAGTGGTGACCTCGTGGCAATGTCTCGGGACATTTACCGTCGCGATCTCCGAGTCATTCGGATTAAGAGAGAGCTAAAGGATAATTCTATATCACAATTCGATATTGTAACAAAAGATTTAAAAAGTTTAATTAAAACGTCGCAAATGTCGTTCGACAACATCGAATATTCGCTTCGTGTTTCTTATTAATGATGTGAAAAAAAGAACAAATACTTTGCAAGAGAATATGTGTCAGAAAAATAAGTCTGACAGCATTTCCGAACGACGCGGAGCGTCGTCGATTCGCCGATCCGCTCGCGTAACCGACCACGTGCTTCATATGACTAATCGGTTCTATGAATGAATGCTACATTGAAATTAACCAGGATTTCACAAAGGTAAAAACAACACAAACTCTCTATCTTGATATCTAGACTTGTGTATGACTGCAATTTTCTGTAATGCCTCTAATGGACGAGTATATAAATATTCCCCCTCTTTCAAATGCTCGACGACGAACGAATGCGCGAGTGCATCCGTCCACGCGCGATGCATCTTCAATTCCAATCGCCGGACTCTTTAATTTTCTTAAAAAGTTTATTATAGATTTTTTAATATCTCAGTATTGAAATGTGCGTGTGTGTCAGCTGTGCAATCTGCAAAATCGTAAGATTTTGCGACATGCTACATAAAAAAAATTTAAAAAAATTGCACATTTCTACTTTATTGAAGAAATCGCGGGATATAAGATGATAATAATAATTTATAAGTTTGAGTAAACCAATTGTTCCCCTTGCAACCATAAAAATTGCAGTTTTAGTAAAGATTTGTGATACTCTAGCAACTTGGATGCTGGAAAGTTAATGAAACAAAAAACGAAAAAAAAACGCGCGTATAAGAACGATAAATTATTCTACAATGTATTTAAGGATGTACTCAAGAGTTAATCAAAGAAAGGGTCGCGGGGCGTTTAATGGCAAATGAGTGAAATTTCCAGCCGTTCTCCACGGTGCACCAGTGCATTCGTTTAACGAGTTCTGCCTCGCGAGAGCACAATGCGGATTATTAACGGATATTTATGTGCGTTCTTAAAACGTAGAAGTCGCGTACACGCCGCTGTTTGTGACGTAACCCCTAACTTTATGTTTCCTCGCTGTAAGCTTGCTGTCTATTCGTTCTTTCAATTGTGTTTCTGTGTTCCGGATAACGCTAATCGTTCGTCACGGTTAGCGTTATCGTAGTCGATCAATTATCGATTGCCGCTGCTCTGCGCAATATCATTCTACAAAGCTGTTGTAAATTTTTATGATTTATCAAAGATTGAATTCTGCGAAACTTTAATTAACTCGTAATATATTTTCAACACAAACTCTTATATCTTGCACAAAATTATATTTCTGTAAAATGTATCATATCTTTATAAAAGTTTGACGCTTAATATTATTCTAATTTTTCGCTTGCAGAAAGCAATTGATGTCATGGATCGATCAAGATTATCGTTCTAATTGCCGTTGATAATATCTTTTGTGTAAAACTTCAAACTTTTTGAAGCTACAATTAAGGAAAAAATTCAAATACATTCTTGATACAATGCATTACTTAAAAAAATAGAAAAATTCACGGCGATTAGCAACTTTAAGAAAACTTAATCGAAGGCGTGTGTATGAATTGCACTCAAAGAATTCGCGTGATCATGCGACTGTAGGTACACCCTTTCTACACGGGGCCCATGATGCCTTCGTCGAACGGCGGCCGGCGTATGTCGACGGGCGCCGGGATGCAATCAGTCGGCGGCAGATTGTCGGGACAGACCGCGCAGTCGACCCATTACGGCGGCTACGGCCAGCACACCGGAAGCGGAAGGATCATGCCGAGAAGTGGTTCCGACCAGCACCTACCACGAGTCGATTACACGAGTATCACGACGCCGACGCGACATACCCTTCTTAGATCCAGCTTGAAATCAGGTCCGTAATGAATTTACCTAGCGTCCAAGCACATCCACCGCGAGGCTCTCAAGAGCGCAAGCAATTTCCGTCTCGACGGCAACTGTCCCTTTCTCGTGCATCGCCATACACGCACCCAACCTAAACTCCACGGAATATCCTCACATGCTCTTCTCCGCGCAGGTTCGACATGTTGTTGAAAAACATTGCGGTATAAATAATAATATCGCGGATAAATAAAAGTTGAATAAAAAGGGACATTTATTTTTAACGCGAAATGCGTTAAAGCGCGAGATCAAAATTAAGGATGCAAATGTAATGTAACACTTTCTGTCCGCGACGCTTGTTATATTCTAATTTTCTGATTATTAGGTACATCAGCATTGCGTTATAACACGAGGTACGGACAGACTGATATATCGTCCGCCGTGCAGAGACAAGGACAATTCGGCACGTTGACGAGACGACACCGGCCGTCATTGGACTACGCCTCAGACACCGAGGCTACGTGCTCCAGCTCGCCAAAATCAGCGTATTACTATTATAGGCACAACATGAACAATCCACCTCAAAGTAGCGTCGTATCGCACTTAGCTACCCTTTCGAGGTCACAAATCGGTCAGAGTTCCTCAGGCAAGTTGAAACAATTATCGAACTTAATCCTTGAATGCGCGACTTAATAACGAAAGTTTGCAAAATTTCAAGTAATAATGTCGATAAATTTAAATTAAGAATGATCAAAGAGAACAACCTCAAAGATTTTCTAAAAATTATCTAGAAGCAAAAACGTTTGATTAAAGATAATGGAAATATCGTAAAAAGCTAATACAATAATGTCTCAAAAATCCTTTTATACATACAAAAATCAAATTACATCTCGTATTTTTTCGGAACGTATTACTTGGGCTTTAATTGTCGTCGATAAAAATATCTGTGACCCAAAATTCCCGAGTTAATTAATTAACTCTAATACAACGATCAATTTATATCATGTAGATAATATTACGGAGAGATTCTAAAAATATACATTAGCTAATTACAATAATCAAGATATTTCGGATATTTAAATAATCATGTAAAGTATAAAACATTTTATCAAATTCAAGAATTATTTGGTGACAGTTTTAACATTCGAATCCGAAATCTCTGGAAAAATACATTTTTTATGAACGAATATTTTACACCGAGGAATTCGGTCTACAGGTTTAAGGTCAAACTCACTACCACGAAGCGGTCGGACGTTGCCCCAGCAGCCTGGTCTCAGGTCGGGTCTTAGCACGGTCGCGTCCGGCCTGATCGATCAAGAGGACAGCGACGGCGCTCTATCGGCGCCGGAATTACCTTCCATCAGGCGTGACAGAGGTAAGTTGCAAAGACAATAACCGAGAACGCAGTCGGGAATTGCGGGTGCGCTGATAAATCGTGTTTGATAAACCGGTAAACAGGCAGAATACCGTCCTCGCCGAGCGTATTTACATCGGACGAGTACCGCGCCTGGCTGAGCCGCACACCAAGTACCAGCGCTCTGTACGAGCAGATCAGGGCGACCACAAGTAGACCACCCCGTTACACCTACAGTGCCGAGAATATTCACGCGGCTGTTAATCAGGTAATCGCACGATCGCGTCAAATCGGCAGTCTATAATTCGTTTTTATTATTCTTCAGTTTTTATATCATAGAGTTATATGCGTCTCAAAAGATATAAAATGTGTTAAAAACTCATTCGCTATTAAAGCTGTATCATAGCTTTTGCTATTGAGAAATTATACTTCGTCGACAAGTAAACCGAAAATTAAATTTCCTACTTCTTATGTGAAAATAATCTAAAGCACACATACGCGAGATGTATTTATATACAGACAAAAATCTTCCGTTTTCCCTCAACATTATATTTCATTCAATCAAAATAAGATAACAATTCGCCTTCGAGATAAACTATGAATTCATCTGCTTAGTTCAAATGTTAATTATTCATATAGGGTGACTACGGCAGTTACGGCGGGTACAGACCGCTCTCGAGCACGCTCGATCGTCTGTCAACGAGATCGGCGTCGGTCCAGCAGGTGAACCTCGCGAATCTCAGAGCGTCGACGGCGATCAGCTCGACGTGTCATCGCGGTACAACGAATCCAAGGCCCGCGTCAGTGGCGTCTAGCGCGCGCTCGTCGCTAGCGGGTCAGAAACCTTCGTTGGCGAGCTCCGTGAGCCAACGTGCAATGTCGGTCAGAAGAATTAGAAACCTGCTGGATCTGGAGTCCACGAGAAGCATACCTACCCCAACGCCTACCAGAACTCAGGGTCAAATACTGCTAGATATTAATCCTGCAGGTGACTAGCCAGTTTAATTCTCTCCATTTGTTTTCTAAAGAGATCTATTACTTCTAAAACAATATTCTTTTTCAAATTGTAAATTTACACATATCCATTTCTATAGCCCTATATACATACAATCTTTGCCTTATTTAATTATTGTCTATTTTTTACATCTTTTTAACTCAATAAAAATTCGATAATATTATCCTTGACATAATTAATGATCGTAAAATAAAATATGGATGGTAACTAATATTTTTAGTATCTCCAATTCTTCATTCCGACTAAATCATTCCGAACAATTTTATATTAAATTTTGTCCTTCGTTAATTTTATATAAATTCAATAAATATCTTAAATTATTATAAATCATTTTATATTCATTTGTAAGACTGATAATGCTATGGAATGATTTTTTTTCTTACAGAGTTCCTCAAGTATAAAATAGAAAAGCCGCCGACCGTGGGCACTCCGAGCTCGACAAGTTCGCTTTTGAGCTCGCTTGGGGAGACAACCAGTGGCGATTTTGCGAGTGGAGTCAGTGGATTATTGTCGGTCCATCTTTTAGCGGGACGTGGTCTTCGATCGACTACGACCTCATCGGCCGCCACTACACCTTCCACACCCTCGGGTCAACCAAACTTAGGTGTGTTAGATGAAATTACTTATCATGCGAATAGTAATACCGTTCGGAACTTGAAAATCGATACACCAAACAACTTTTACTCGAATTCGTCTTTCTGCAACTAATTGAAAAAACTCGGATTTTGAAGAAAAAAAACAATTAACCTATTATCTTAATTTCGCGCACTCCAGAATTCTACTTAAACAAACATATTAATTTGCGATGAATTGCAGCTAGCTGCGGCTTGAGAGACTTGTACTGCGTGCTGGAGTGTGACAGGGTGCACAAAGCGCGCACCGTAGTGCGCACCGGCGACCTGATGTTCGACTGGGACGAAACCTTCGAGCTGGACCTCGTGGGCAATCGGCAGCTGGATCTGCTCGTTTACTCTTGGGACCCACAGTACAGGCATAAACTCTGTTACAAGGGATCGGTGCACTTGGCGAGTCTGCTGAAAGAATCGCCGGTGCACCAGCTGGCCGTCAAAGTCGAGCCACGTGGTACAATCTACTTGAAATTGCGATACACCGATGCCCAACAAACCTTCCGCCGAAGAGGTCTGCCGGTCATATCTTTAGCTACAAGAGTGGCACCTCTTTTCGGAGTTGATTTAGACACAGTGGTAAGTTTTTCATCTCATAAATTAACAACTCATACTCATTCTTAATTTTCGTTGAAAAATATATATCTATAATTTTTAATATTTGTTCTTTGATTCTAAAGTCTTTTATATGACGATCGTAAAAGGTGTAATCGTTTCTGTTAAATAAATAGGTAAGCCGAGAGACCAAAACTGGCGGAGTTCCGGGCGGAGTTTCCACGGCTTTGGCGATGGGAATGCCGAACGTACCGATCATCGTGTGGCGTTGCGTCGAAGAGGTGGAGAGAAGAGGACTCGATATTATCGGTAAGTATCCAACGATCTCGAAATGTGTACGCGCGATAAGAACCATCATTATGTGGAATACACGTACATGATAAACTTGTCAAATTTGTATCGCGAGAAATAATGATTAATGGTTGTAACGAGTCATTTCGACTAGCAATAGTTTCCAGAGATATTCTTCGACCAAAACCATTTTTTCAACAATAAATTATTATTCTTTTAGTTGGCAATTTCTATGTAATGAAAATTATTTAAGAAATTATTTCTATAAATTTATATTCTTTCACGCTTTTTATATTTCTGATACAAAACGTTTTACAATCTTCTTACTTCGATTAACTTGAGTAATGTTTGAGTAATGTTTGAAATTATCTTCAAGAGTGTTTGATTAATCCGATTATTCCGTGTGATAGGTTTGTATAGACTCTGCGGTTCAGCGACTAAGAAGAGGATACTTAGGGAAGCTTTCGAGAGAAATGCACGATCCGTAAATCTATCGCCCGACAACGTGCCGGATATCAATGTCATCACTGGTAATAAGCCGCGAAATACATAAGGTTGTTCTGAAAAAGACTCGAAGTTGTGAATTTAAACCGTAATGTTTCTTTCAGGCGTTCTAAAGGATTATTTACGAGAACTTCCGGAACCTCTCTTCACGAAGTGCCTCTACCAAATGATGGTCGACGCACTGGCCGTCTGTTTGCCGGACGACCCGCAGGGCAACGCTAAGCTTATGTTCAGTATATTAGATTGTCTGCCTAAAGTTAATAGGGTTTGTATCTTTTTGGAATTTCAACAGAAATGAAAAATTCAATATTTAAAAATGAGCTAAAAAATTTCCGGAAAGTAGTCACTGAAAAATATATATTATTTAAATACTTCACTTACACATTTAAACAATTTAAATATGGAAATTCAAAGAGTGTTTTTATTTTTTTCACTACGTTTTTTAACACACTTTTTTACGGTTCAGCAGCTCTTTGACTCTTCAAAAAAAAATCTTTTGGTGTCAAATATAAATCTTTCTTTTCAGAAATATTTTAACTGATTTTTATATGATAAAATTTTCCTCTAAAAAAACTAAGTTTTTCAAATTCTAATTTGCGCGTATTATTGTTCAACAACAGTGCACGTTGATTTATTTGCTGGATCACCTGGCGATGGTCGTCTCGCAGTGCAATAAAATGTCACCGACGAGCCTCGCTGTTTGCTTCGGTCCAGTATTAATGTTACACTCGGAGGAAAGCGGACCCCCGCTGGATTTCCAGCAACCAATCGCCGTGCTTAAATATTTGCTGGAGATTTGGCCAGTCAAGTCAGGTAATGTACTTGTTTTTAATATGTCTTCATAAAAATTCCGCTTCTCTTAAACCCGCAAATTTAAATTAATAATACACCTCTATGCGTTTAACATCTAATTCCGTCTTTAATTTTAACGTAAAAATGCCATATAATAGAAAAAAAATTGTTTTTGCACTCGTTATTTACGTATGTTCGCACAGTGACGTGCATTACGAAAGAAACACCGACTAAGAGCCGAGTAATCAGTAGCTAATTTCACAGACAGTTCGGAAGACTTCTTCAGTCGGTTCAACACTTCCTCGAGTTACGCCAGCAGTCGAGCGCAGCAACAGTCAACAGCATCTGCAGCAAGCGCAACAGCAGGTGCATCAACAGCAGCAACTACAGGGAACATTGGGACGCACAGGGCTGCCCTGGCAGCAGCCACCCTCACTTCATCATCAACCCCAAACTACAGTAGCCGCAGTCCACGGGCCCTCCATTCGTCCTCCACCACCGGTCAAGCCTCGACAGGTAAGTCGAGTGTGTGCGCTTCTCGCACGATTCAAACTTGATGTCGTCGAGGAAACGTTAATCCCAAACAGTACAAGCAGGCTCTGACTTTTCATTGCAAGTCTTATTGAATTTATGTCAAGTGCCAATTGTTTATGAAACTTTAAATGAGAAACAGAATTCAGATCTCGAACGTTATGAGAAACTTTGACGCATTCAAACATAAAATTAATTGTATTTAATTGTTTATCCGATATATCATAATAAATTAAGAGTTAAAAAAAATTATCTTACGAAAAAGCGTTTACATCGCCGTATCTCTTACAAACATATTAAAGATAACAAATAATAAGCAAGTATTCTATACTGTTTAGGGTTAACTGCATTAATTCTTCTGGTGCCTACAAATTTGTATATTTATATATATTTTCTTCTTGAACAATTGGAGATTTTGGAACCAGAAGAATCGATCGAAGACACATCCCTCAGACATTCTAAATATGTGTACTCAGTTTCCTTCATTCTCGCTTCTTTTCGTGTCCTATGCATATTGAAACGTTGTAAACAGCATGGTAGGCAAAGTACTGATTTTACTCTTCTTCTTTGTTCGCTTCGCAAACTATTTCATTCGCGACGCGCTTCTAAATCGAATCTAGGCCACTTAGCAATCATTTATACGCCCCGCTTATACCTATATGCCTAATGTATTCAGTCATAATGTGAGATTTCGATCAAAAAACTTTCATTAATTATAAAAATTGTCGCAAGTATTTTGGCACGTGATGTTTCCAGGTGTAAGTTAAAAAATTGTACCATTTCCCACGTCAGTAATCAATCAAGATAGTTTCAAACATTACTGAAGTTGGCAGAAATAAAAAAATGAGATATTTTCTGCATCTCTAAATATAAAATATTCAAATAACAATTTCAGTAAAAATGTATTTAAATATATGTATAAATATTTAAAGATATAATTAGAAGAATGTACTTTCAATGAATTAAATATTATTACACGAATTCTGACTAAAGAAAAGGAATTTATTCCTGTAACTGTATTCTGGAAATTATTGCTAACCGAAATGTTTTGCGATTGTCATCCATCATCATTATCATAATCATTATCATTATCATAATCATTCTTAATCATATCACGCGATATAGATTTGACCGGTTTATCATGTACATATATTCCATATGTACGTATTGTATATTATCATTTATGCGAAATGCCTTCGTGCATGTGTCTCGATGTCATTTCTGTATTTTTTTTCTGGGCATATAAATACTGGGTGAATATGATTTCCGCGTTTTGTGTATATAGTTTCGACGTCATTCCTATTATAATGACAATTTACGTTGTCTTCTTTATCTTTTTTCGTTTGGGCACGTATTCTTCAGAGCAAGCGCAAATTGCCGGCTCTACCAAATCGCTGACAGCACAGAGACGCCGCTTCTTGCACAGGTATTATCGTTTTCATTCATTCATGTACATCCGCCTTTAGTTGTCACATACATTGCATGGCCCGATCCAGATATCAGAGAACCGTATCGTTCATTGTAACTCTCATTCTACCTTCATGCCGTTTTCATCTACGTTCATCACGTTTTCAACAACTTAAATGTATTGCCGACACGCCGAGTATTTTTGTAAATATTTCTCTACATTGATGTAGCACATATTTTTTGCGTATGCTCACATTCGCATTCATTTTTCCACGACTCTCTGGTATCCGCGAAATTGCGCAGAGCCGACTTAAAAAAAAAGTAACAATCTCGCAAAACTATTAAAGAATTTAAAAAAATATAATATTGTAAAAGCAATATTTTTTAAAAAGAGATGCGAGTGAAAAATGCTATATACATTGCGATTTTGATCGCATTTATTACAAGAAAAATAATATGATAATCCTAAGACCTTTTAACGGCGTAAGTAAGAAGCCCCTGTGTAAACTTAATTAAGAATAAAATTTATACCTCTGCAACGTATCAGAAGATACCTATAATTCACGAAATTGATCAAGTGTTTAAAAAATTTCAAAAAAATTATTTCAAAACACATTACTTTAGAAATACATTACTCGTATCTCTCTATGATAATATAAAAATTTGTTTTTATATGCCTGCTCTCTTTTCTTCCCAGCTTATTATATAGGATGCTTAAAAAAAAAAGATTTAGAACTTAGAGATAGTACTCGTTAATAAAGTGCTTGATCAATATAGATCGAAAAATTAACTTTCTTAGAAGCAATTTCCGATTTTGCCGATAAAGCTATTTGCTTGCATTTTTGCATGTATTGACACAATTTTCTTTTACATAAATTAATTTTTACTTTGCTTATAAAAATACAAGATTATCGAAAAGTGAATATCTACTTTGTGAGATATTTCACATCTCAGATATATTCCGACTTACGATTCGAGAGAAATTGTTTTTTAACATCCTATATATTAAAGAAAGGAAGAGAAAGTTTAATGGAATTTTCCAAACGTCTGGTCAATTTCGTAAATAAATTTCACCGATGCCCGGCGTCGGGCTGGACTAACCGACGACACCTTGACGGTGGGTCCCTTTTATTCGCGCAGGTGATAGTCTCGTCTCCCGGTTCACCTAGCAGCGAGGAGTCAGAGGCCTCGCCGGAGCCGATTAACAAGGGCCTTCTGACCGGCCTGGGATTTGAGAAGAACGACGAGACGGCGGCGACGACGACGACGACAACAACAACGACGACGACTACGGCCGGCAACGGCATCGTTGGCCACGCCGTCGAACAGATTACGCCGACGAGCAGCGTCGATACCGAGGAGGGCAACCTCCAGCATCCCGAGGAGGGCGAGAAGGGCGTCGAGGGTGATGTCGAGGCGAGCGACGACGATCGACACCAGCGCATACCAAAAACGCACTAGACTCTCTTATCCGCCGCCTGTCATCCCGCATACAACGTGCGCAGTGAATAACGGAGAGGCTACACAATCAACAGGAACAAACATCGGAGATCGAGAACTGCTGCGTGACTTTGTCGAAGAATACAACCGAATAATAAGATTTGCCGGAAGAGATAAACCGGTCGGCTCAGGAAATAAAATCCGAAATTGCGGAAAGCCGCTTACAGTTAATCGTTAACTTCATCGGACTTAGTTTCTAAATAAGCAGGATAAGAAACACATGTCAAAGCAATTCTATGCGAGGGAAGGAAAATCTTTTAGGTTTTCATCGCACGGTGCTAATACACGAATGTCCTATCGTAGAAATCTTTATTGCGCACCCGGATCGTAAACCACCGCGATTGATTTTAGTCAATTGTGTCGGGCGTGTTAGCTTGCGAGGATTTGCTAAAGCTCAGCAAGAAGAAGCAAGCGTATAAAAAAATGATCCAGCTGCTGCGTAACGAAATTAAAATTAGCATACAATTTTTTTTTCTATAAAAATCGCATCTTGGTTTATCGGTTTCCAATCAAAATTAATTTTGTGAAAAATAAAAAACATGGCATGAGATAAAACGTCACATCAGCACAGATCAAGAGTCGATATGCCGTAAAACAACAGCAACCAGAATCGAAAATGATAAAAAAAAGTGCAACTATGAAGAGTCATTGCTGGCGAAAAAAAATTCGAGCAACCGAAACGCGTTTAGTCCTCCGCACATTACAGAATTTTCTCCGAGCACTCCAGTCACGACCTTTTGAGAATTATGGTCTCTCAAAGCGAATAGCAGATAGATCGCGGATGAATCCATCGCGCACACTTTACCCTCGATACTCTTTTCCGGAAGTTACATAAAAAAGATGAGGAAAAAAAAAAGAGGAAAGGACGAGATTGTCGTTGGCATCACTATCATCACGTCATCAACACGACTCACACATGATACGCAACACAGAGAACTTAAGCGAGCAAGCCGATTAAGGCGAGGAGGAGCGCACGTGGCATGCATAAAGAATAATCAGTTTATATGCGATATATATATATATATATATATATATATATATACATAATTATATATACATACGTAGACTAGTCACGATATTACGTGTGCTTTTGATAAAAAACTATTACTTGTAGCGTTAGCTAGCTCTCATATACACAAACAAAGGGATATACATGAACAAACAAACCGACAAACAAACAAACTACAACTAACTAGACGATATACATAATATACATAAAGATGTTATACATATGTCAGAAGGGAAGGGCGAAGAGGAAAAGCGCGAGGACACAGCGGCGTTTCTACATCATCGACAATAGAACGCGTAACAGAATCGTTTGTGAACATGCTTGCGTTACAAGGATGTAGATACAGCAATCGATTGGCTATTGTATCAATACCGCCGACGGATCGATTGTCCAAGATCGGATCGTGATTGGTTTGGTGGACGGAAAAGGGGGTGGCGAGAGATGGAAGCTGACCGAAAACGATAATAATTACGAGTTTAAACAAAGAAATGCTATGATTAATTATACTTTTAAAAAGAGAACGTAAAAAAAAAAACGAGTAAAATAGCCAGTATTATTATACGTCTAAATCTGTAAAACGGCGATCGCGAGAGTGTGAGTGAATGTGAGGGTGAGAAAGAGAGGGAGAGAAAGCGAAACCTGCGAATAGTTTAAACGTAAAATAACGAACGATCGAGAAGGAGTAAAGACACAAAGGGAAGATAAACTATCGTAGACACAAGCGTCGCCTTTGTTGTGAACAATCGAGCGACGACGAAATACGCACTCACGATTCCCGAACGAAGCCACGAGGGAAGCGAATCGCCAGACTTATCGTCGCCATTGAATTATCACCGTCGATTCGATCTCGCTCGTGGTTTGGTTCGCAAAGGAGAAAAATAAAAAAGTAAAAAAGCACTGTAATCTCTGTATAAACACACACATCACACACACACACACACACATACACACACGCACGTATAAATAGATACATACATCCGTAACTCTTTTTTCCGCACAGTTAGTGTTACCGCGCGTGTTATTTAAGAGTTTAGGGCAAAGAGCAGATTGGGAGGGAGAAATGATGTTTTAATTCAAGTAGTCACGAAACCGAGACTAATTGTATAGCTGAATGTAATGTGTATATAACATACATACATATACATATATATATATATACAATATATATATATATATATATATATATATATATACGAGTCGCCATAACGCAATCCTAGCTGTATCCAGCCCCAAACCGTGTGTGACTTGTCGTTCGATGTGCGCGCGCGAGCGAATGCCGGGTACCGAAAGTGTCCTTTTTCGTTTTCCCGTGGGAAATTTAAAGGAAATTTAAACTTTCCAAGATAATCAAGAAAGTAAAGTCCCTGAATTTTTTATAGAAATAAAATCTGCAAACAAGTCAATCTCGAAACTTCATATTCCTTTTTCATCTTTCAGTCGAAATAATCATCAGGATTAAAATTGTTTGCAAACGAGATTTCATAAAATATTTGTTCAAGATGAATTGAAACATTTTGAACACAAGTTTTTAATTTATCTTTTTAAATGAATCCGACTCGTCGTGCAGTTCCTATATTTCACTTGCTCGTAGAGGAATTGAATAGCTACTTCAGGTATGAGTTACGTATTATTTCATAAATGGTCAAGCGACGATGTTCGTATTATTAAGTAATCTATAATGGCATTGTGTTTGCGCTTTAAAATTCGTATACTATAACGCGTAGGCTTATTATGACCGATATGGTCTTGTCTCTTCGATCATTGCAACATATGAAGGAGAGATAGACACACATCAGACACACACACACACACACACGAAGACGATATCCGGTGTTCCTCGCCCGTCCTGATTCTAGTAATAAATCGATTATGCGTCAGAAAGAATGTATGCAAGAGAGTGCGAGAGAGAGCATGATTAACATTAACTATTATACATGGAAGCACACTGCCGCAATTTTATATAATTGACTGTTGTTATACCTATACCTACGTGCATATATATTATATACATATATATATACATTATATAATATATAATAATCGAGACTTAACAAACCGCGTGATACGTGTCGATCGCAAGGAGTCCAGGATATGGAACCAGCGAGTTAGTTTGAATTAGTTTCTTCCGCTAACGCGGGTCTCTTTCGTCCGAAATCGCTTATTAAATATCCTTCGACGCCGGCAAGGATCACGTTTCAAATCCCTAATTAAACCTTACAAATCGGGAAATTTCCGAGACACAACACGCTTTTACGGATTACAAATATTTAATGAGTGTCTTTATATTCGAGATATCTAAATATCCGCAATCTTAGATATTTGCCTATCTAAGAAATCGGCGTCAATATAAAATAATATTTACTCCAAAAATAATTACTTGCGAGTATAGAAAACGTTAATATTACGTAATCTTGTGAGTTGCGTAATTTTTCGTTAATTTCTCCTTATCAGTGAGGGAAAACGTGGCCGCTGGCCGAAGGATCGGCATGACGGTGGAAGCTCGTTAAAGAATACTACTATTATTACTATTACCCTTCGGGATTTCGCGTCCCACATCTGCAATAAACGCGATAATCTTTTCGAAAGTACCCCTCTGTTCGCGCGCCATAAACTGAATGCAACGCGAAGTCCTTCGAGAGTTTTCGTATCGCTCGCGAAGGATAACCCTTTGGTCGAATTGAGCTAATTGTAAGCAGGGACGCGGCCAACAGACACAATAATTCGTGCTCTCGATTTTTTCACACAATCGATCCCTCACACCTTTCTTCATATATTTTTTTTCCTTTCTATCTACTCCCTCGCGATATCCCCAAAAGATAGCGGAAACATAAAATATTCCGATCACGCACATTATTGATCAGCTGTATTGTACCATCGAGTCTAGTCTCTCGTTGCAAATTCACGACGCTTCGCGAAGTCGATGGATTTGAGAAAGAGAGGCGAGTACATCGAAAAGAATCGGACAGACTAGATAAACGAGAAAGAGAATCGGAAAGAGACACACGCATGACGAAAAAATTCGCGAGGACAGAAAAGAGTTAGTCAAGATCGCTCGAGAGCCACGTTACAATATTTGCAGGAATGCTTACTGAAATAGCAAGGGGACGATAGACGTGTCGAAAGTCAGCGAGGAAGAACGGACCGAGCAAGGGGCAATATACAAATCTAATTTTTTAACGTACTCGCATTACCTGATTCTCTCGTGAAATCGCATTTCATTCGTCGACTAATTATTATTATTACTTGTGGAGGAATTCGCATTAAGTGGATTCATGGACTTGTATTCTCGATTTTAGGATTCGTCTCTAATGAACGGTCTTTGCGAGCACATTTATATGTAAGAAATAGCTCGGTATATTAGATTTTTTTATTTGCGATATGAGCAAATAATTGATAATTAAAAAAAACACATTTTTAGCCATAACTGAGAATCTTAGAAAATTCTATGGCTCATATTTTTGACAAAATTTGATATTTCTCAATGATCACATTAATATAAAAGTAAAACAAATAATATATTTTATTTAACATTTTAGATTTTTACCAACCAATCTACCAATTAATATAATTAGTATCAGAATTGATTCGAAAATTAATTTATCGATGGAATTTTATATTTTTAGACGCAATCCAAGAGTTTTTCGATAAGCAAATTGACGTATGGAGGTGAAAAAGCGCACAATTTCACGTTTCTAACTTAATAATATATCGTTGCTAACACATATTTGATTTGTACTTTATATAAATATCATATAAATAATACGTAATATTAATAATTATATTATTATAAGAAATTCTCGAGCGTTATAATATCGAGTCGTGAGTACAAGTCCGTTGAATCCTCGAATCTTAGCACTAACATATAAATATACATACGATGGACCACGTTTGTCATACTGAAACGTTTCTAAAAAAAGAGAGAAAAGGGGAGAGAGAAAGAGAAACTAACAATTTTTCCATGATTTTTCTATGAGTTAGAAGCAGAACATGTAGCGGGGCGCATCGGTTTTTCTTCCGCGCTCCGACAGCATAAATTTCGTACGTAAATGAATCATAATTATCGAAACTTTCTACAACTAACACTTGTATACTATACATATAGTTTTAGCTGTTTCCCGAAGCCCTCGAATCGTCACGAGGTTGACAATTAGAAATCTGCATTCGGCGATCGGTCCTTCACGAGCGTCATCGCACCGATCGCATCCTTTCGATCGATCGTTCGACGAAGAGTTTAATTTTCTGAAATCGGAGAATTTAACGAGAAAAAAAAATAAATTCGATCAGTGAACGGACCGATCGCGAATGCGGTCAACTTAGCCGACGGGAAAGAAATATTTTGCAAAAGACTCTATTATCGCATACTTCTTCGTTTTAGATAAATGACGGCGGTATCTTCTGTCGAGGAATCCCACGCATAATTTAAGCTATAATCATCTCAGGTGCCGGATCTGAGAAGGATCCGAGAATAACCGGAGCCTGCGACTTCTGCGCGTTATTCAAAGTATAATCGATCGAGACACGGCGCTTAAGAGAGAACCTCGGGATGCTTTTTTTCAGCTCTCAGCTTGGCTACGATTTACGTTGCTCTTCCTTCGTCCTTCCGGATGCCGAGCATCCCGATCCGTGGAAAGTCTCCTGTCGCGGACGCACGGAAAAGATCGCGGAAGAGTCGAATTCCACGAGTAACCGATCGCGACGCGACACGCGTCTGCGCAGAGTGTTAGTGTAAATAGTCGGAAAAAGCAAAGTTAAAAGCAGCAGAGAATAATAATGTACTGTCATTCCTCTTGGTGCTCAATGACCCTGAACAGATAATAATAGCTGATAATCGGTACGTTAAAGCGATAAAAGCCTAGCCATCCCGTCTCGCCGTCGACGTGATCGCGATCAATCTAACGCAAAAGGAAATGAAAGTTGCAGTGGTGAAAACGTTCTTGTGTAAGCGTTCTTTTATCACATTTTTGGACAAATTTTTCATTTTTATCGTTGTTTAAATCAACTTACTCTTATGGGAAAAAAATATTCAGGAATATAGATTTTATTTCTACTATTCTCTGTAATTAATAACAGCATTTTAAATCGCGTTACTGACCGCATCAATTTGCGGTCGTAATTTAGTGTTAAATAAAATTGCGTAAATATGAAATTTTCTCTCCCGTACAATTATGAAAATATGTCGTTTTCACTACCACGCGCGAAATTCCTCTCGAGCCGCGATGTCGAGAAAACCCGAGGTGACGTTTTTCTCTTGCGAGAGCAACAACTTCCGCGAGACGAGACACAGCTGTACATAATAGCGAGAATAATAATAATGTAAACAATCGCGGAGCGCGACTCGAGGGGGCCTTCGGGCACGAAAGGAATTAAAATCGAATTGAAGGGAGCCGAGGAGGAAGACGAAGACGCTGCTTGTAAATAATGACACGCGTCTCGTTTGTCAGGTAAACAAGACTTGTATCCGCAGAGGCACACACTGGAGAGAAAGCGGAGCAGCATACACACACGCATAAGTATATACACGCATACACACGTAACATACACATGTACACAATGTATTTTCGAACGTAGCTTTTCTCGTACTTATCGAAATATGTATATCATCCGAGATCGCTCTGAAGACATATCCCAGCCAGGATGCATCCTAACTTAGGCAAACGTGTTGTAGATAATTGCGTATAATCCCGTAACGAAAACTTATTCAACGATGCTCCAAACGGATGATGATTGTGTGCAAAAATTAAGAACGTTCCAAGGTTCTCTCATATTTGAAATTTATGTACGTTGAACTTTGCTGATAAAAAATATTTGTTCCTTTGAAACCTTCTGTCAGAATTCACAAGAGAAATTTTACAATAAAGTTATGATTTTTAAATAATAATTTCAACGATGCGGAATCATCTCTGTTCGAAGCAGCGTTCCCAAAATTTTTCTTACGGCTGATGCGAGAACGAAACTAACAAATGAGTGTCGTACGCCTGATCGTTTCTACCCTTCATCGAGCAGGGGCATCACTAGGTTATAGGAGTTTACCCTAAGCTTTCATCATCCTACATATCATAGGGAAACAAAGAAGAGAGAGTGAACGAGAGAAAGAGAGAGAGAATGAGAGAGAGAAAGAGAACATTTTCTTTTCCAGACGAAGAAAAGAAAAGATGGACCTACGAACACGAAAGAGAATCTAGCGAGCCCTCGATGCCGTGATTTGTATTGCAGAATCGTGAAGATTGCGCGAACGGAAACGCATTAAGGGTGAAACAAAAAAAAATAGGCCTCACAATACACTGTATTATCTGTTAGGAAAGTGAATCGCGTCTCGTACGGTCGAGATGAACGAGAGAAACACGCTTTTTTAGAATTAGTCGCAGCTTCCTAGACCCGACAATCGGAAAGCACGTCTTGTACCTTGAAAAAAGCCTTTTTTCCTTCCTCCTGCAGAGCATTCCTTCATTTTTATTTTCTTTTAACGTAACCCATCAGTAGCTCAAAATGATATGCAAAACTTGGCAATTGAACCAATACTCATCAGGTTTTTCACGCGAAAATATTTTTGATAAACAATAAAAATGAAATATAATAAATCATTTGAAAGCTAAATCTCTAAAATCATGAATAAAAGAAATTTACAATATTTACATATACTTGCTTATCACATGAAAATTGTGTCAGTAGACAAATTTACACAAACTGATTTTTGCACATCAACTCTAAAATTAAAATATTCTACTCGCACATGAATGTCACTCGAAGTCAAGAGTGAGAGCAAAGACTAATGCCGCGGCCGAGTATCCAGTATATACTCTTGCGATGAAAAATACAACTTTGATTGAAGCCAGAATCGAGCCAGTGTACAAATGAGATTCTCAAGTATCCGATTCAAGGCGCCGTCTTCATTTTTTATTTCGCGCAATTCATTCAGCACGTTAGAGAGCTTGCACAAGTATCCTTACGACTTCCAATTTACACGTAATGAGACCGTTTCGACGATCGAAAATTTGTATACTACACTTACTTCTTCCAGTTTTATAAGAAAAAAAAGTGCGGAAGCGGGAAAGAAAAGAAAAACAATTCGCTCGGCGTCCTCTGTGAGGACAACGAACATCATCTTCGCGCGATTGACGATGATTCTTCATTCTTCGAGACCGTGTCATTGCTTCGTCGCGGACGTCGATTCGCGACAGTCTCATTGTCGAGTATTTCCCTCGTATCCACAATGCCATAATATCGCATAAATCGCCGCATCGTTCACCCCGCATCAAACATTAGATGTGAATCACAGAGGCGCGTTCGTTCTCCCGCAGATATACATACTATATCAATGCGCGCATCATCGCGAGCTATATCATTATCGATCATTATCGCGCGAAGAGGAAACAGGGAGGCGGAAGATTGATTACTCTAGTGCTTAGGAAGAAGCCTGTAAACTCTCTGTTAATCGAGTAACTCAAAGATATAGTGCGAATGGGCAAACCACAGTTATTAAATGTATCATACACGACTGCTGAAAGAGTATTTAATTGCGAGACGTTAATTACCGTCGAAGATCGAGATTTCGTTCGACTTTTCCTATTCGCATATCTGCAATTCAAATTTCTTTTCTTTTTTTTTTACTCAAGCGTGATGGAAAATGAAGAGTGACCAAAAATAAGAGTAGTATAACGTCAAGTACAATAATACGATAAAATATGAAAGATATCAGAAACCTCAAAGCTGAATTATTCTCAATACAATTAGAAATATTCCGATAATTATACGTTTAAGAACATTTTTTATATAATTTTGATTACAATCGCAAACAACAGCAAATCGATTTTCATAAAATTGACAATGAATTTGATATTAATTATATGAATACAAAGATTTAATAATATATATCGCAAGCGATATAAACTTGTTAAATCTAAATAATAACGTAAATATTAAATTGTTTGACGCGTGGATACGTCAGATTGCTAATTAAATTTCATTTATATTAATGATATAAAATACAAGGATAAAGCGTACTCTCAAGGACTACAAAATCAATTCGAAGTAACAAGTTATAGCAATCGGCGAGTAATCGACGTCTACGAGACTAAACGACTATAGTTGTTAATGTACATTGAACGAGCGAAAGAAAGAGAATGCATCTGAAGAGAGAATGCGAGACAGATGACGGAGATAAGATAGAAAAAGAAGGAAAAAAAGGCGAAAATGACACGGCTGAGCGATTAGATCGCTCTGTGAATTGAAAATTCTAAGTCTACAAATATATTTATGACGGAGAGAGAAAAGACAGAAGCGGAGACGGGGATAAGGGGAAGCGAAGTAGAAGGAGAAACGTAAAGAAGGTGCGATGGTAAAAGAAACGCGAAAGATAGAAATATAAATATATAAATATAAAATGATACGAGAGGACGATATAAATACGACGAAGAGAGTAAAAACGGGAACAGGGAGAGGGGAAAGAGTTGAGACGCAGATGAAGTACTTTTTGAAGATGGTGGTG